CAAATTGTTCATTTTTCTTCTTGTAGTTTCAGTCGAGACATCTTTACAACTACTTTATCACTAATGTCAGCTTAAACCTATATCTGCTCTGTGTTTTTCTGGTGGGCAGTGCACGATGTCATCGTTTAGTCGTAATAACTAGTAGTAATTAAAAAGACAAACAAAACATATTTATAGTGTAAATGATGTTATCATTATCCCTTGAAGCTAGCTTTTTTACAGAAATATGGTGTTCCTTTAAAAAACTTAAGTACAGAGCCAAGTAAGAATTACCAGCCAATAATAGATGAACATTAGATGACTGTAACGTGTAGAATACTCATTGCTTTGTAAACTATGCAATCGGTGTCTTTAGAGAGCCAACCCTATATTACGTATGAAGTGAAGGAGTAAAAAAAAAATCTGAAGACATAATATTAAATTTTATTTCACATTCATAGAATACACTAACTTTCAGTTAGGGGAAGAAACATCACAAAACGATTAATTAAAAAACGTTTTGTAAATGTAAAATGATGTAGGGATGGCAATGCAAAAAAGAATGCAAACAAGAATACAGGTATGATACAGCTATACATAGATCATCCCTACCTAGCTTTAAACATTTAGCTCATTTTGGGCATAAGGGCAAAAAACAAAGACATCAAAAAGATGCCATGAATGAATACCAAGATTGTAAAAAACTTCTCACAAGAAACAATTTTCCCAATTGTACTATCTATGTAGACCTTTTCTAGTATCTTTTCGTTCGTCACTTTTATAACGAACTCAAACCCACAACTTGACTTGGACAGTTGATTTGTAGTTGGGCTCAGGATGTTGTGAGCTTCAGGACCTAATATGTGACTTTAATATTACTGCAGTTGGAAGTTAGGTATTCCTGACTACTGGTATGCAGTTTGTTTATCATAATACTATGGTCATGTCAGGGTAGGCATTAATGTAGTGTAACTAAGAGCTTAGGACTTATGTATAAAACCAAGTTGAGTCAAAACATGTCTTGATTTTTAGACTGTTACAGACTCTCGCTACGAGATTAGTTGAATTGACCGACCTTTTAACGATCTTGTACTCGTGCATTTTACAGTGTAACATTAAATTTTAATATTGAAAGTCATGTAGGGATGATCTATGTATAGCTGCATCATCCCTTTATTCTTGTTTGCATTCTTTTTGGCTCTGCCATACCTACATCATTTTACACTTACAAAATACTTTTTATTCCTTGTTATTATTTAACATTTCATAAAATCAAATAAACCAAGGTTTATTGTAGAAATGAAAAAATATATATATTTAACAGTATAAAGTATAAGTATTTGACATATAAAGTGACTTTACATGATTTATCTTCAATGTTTATTGCAGAAATAAAGATAGCTTACTTTATTACAAAGGGTTAGATGTGCAATGTTTTAATGCATGATTTGATTTCAAAGTTTGTCGTAAAATAAAAATATATTTTATAAAGGGTTCACATGTAAAGCATTCATGTGCATTTTACTTTCAAAACTTATACTAAAGTAAAATTGTTATTATTTTTTCAAATGTACCTGTAGCATTGTCACCAAAGGATCAATCAATCATTCTGTGTATATGTAAATTATCATTGTTAAAGGATTTATTTTTATGATGCAGTGATCTTAGCAAAATGTGAAATTAATTGATTATTGTTAAAGGGATTTTGATTGTTTTTCTGTGTTGTTTATATGCTGTACTATCATGTGTGTTTGTCCAGTGCAAGGATAAGATACAGAGATTTACAGCTGGTTCTTGTTATTTTTTATTATGTCATTGTTATGCATTTTAAAACTAGGGACAACTAAGTCTTAAGGCAAAGGAAGTAATATATATAGTTTGTGAAATTTACTGGGTATTTCTTTATGGAAATGCAAACATTTCATGTTCACAAAGTTTGAAATAGTTTTGGCATTTATATGAGTTTAGTGTATGTATAATGTGCTGATGATTGGCTTTAAAAGAAAGCAAACCTTATTTTTGTGTTAGTCACACACAATCAAGGTTTGTCCCACTTTGGTTCTTCTAGACTTCCCTGCAGATGGTATTGCTGGAAAATTTTTTAGACATGTAGAAATATGTTCTTGTGTAGGATTGATTGTTTTGAGGTTTAAGAATACATGAGGATTATTCTCCCAACCCCCTATTTTTCTTATGGGATGACCAAGTAAGATGAATGACATATGTACTGTTCAAATATGTAATAGTGACTAATTATGTTAGTCTTATTCATAATGTCCCTACATAAGATCTCACACCAATCTCTAGAGAAAACACTTCTCTATTCTCCAGTACACATATGTCTGCAGAGTTGTATTTATTTGTCTGTACAATAAAGCAATGAATTTCCATTTCACTAATGATATGTTCCATTTTCTTTTTCCATTCATTAAAATAGGAAACTCAGATTTTACTCTCTAATACATATTCTGCCATTCCTCTTGTTAGAGTGGATACTACTCTTACCTTCAGCAACTTAGTGTGACTGAGAGCACTGCACCTGTTGATCCTTTTCTTTTTCCTCTGTGGGCTCCACCAAAAGAAAGAGCAGATCTGGTAATTTTCTTGTTACCCTGAAGAAAGCAGGGAGGAAATTGACTAAGATAGGGGGCCCCACATACTAATCCTTGACTGAGGCCCATGATAGCACTCAGTAGTCCTGCATAAGTCTTGTACATAACTTTAACTATGCTTACACAATCATCATCAACATATAGAAGTTAATAAATCAGTGTCATTTACCTGCATCTTATTAGATGCTTCTATTTACCACAGAAGTAAATGAAACAATTACATCTTTCCTTACAAAAGCAAACTTGAATTTGATATTTTATTTCTTACTTTTATAACTTTTGCACTTAATTTACTTTTTATTCTATTTAATTCTACAATTCTTTTCCCAGTTTTTCTTATTTTATATTGACTAAAATCACAGCATTACTCCTTCAAAGAAAGTACAAAAACTAAAACTAAGCAAAGAAGAGAAAAAGACAGATGTGATGGAAAAGGAATAACATTTTATACAAAGAAAAACCATTCAAAATTATAGAAATAATAATATATATACAAATGATGTAAAAATTAACTACCCTGAGCTAAAAAAAAAGTATGGATCAAGTACAACAAAACTAACTTAGGCTTAATTTGAAGCATAGGCTTAATTTCAAGTTATCCTAATTCAACTTATCTTGAAGAAAAAAAGATACAAAAAGCAAACCAGAGAGAGAGAAGTAATTGTAGATCTCAAGTAGAAAAGTTACAGTATTTAAGTTGGATCCTAAGATGAAAAAACCAGAACATCTGATCCCCATAGATATTTTATTTAACTTGTTCTTTATGACATTGAAGTTCACCAAGCCATCTTGAGTAACAGTTTGGTTAATGTCAGTCAGTGCAGTATGGTTGAATGATGAGAATTTTATTGAAAGTGGATGAATCCAACCAAAATAACCAGTCATACGTTTAAAACTTAAGGTGTTTTTTGAATGATCAATCTATCTCTTTTTTTTATCAATTCTTCAAGAAGTTTTATATTTTTCAGATGAAAAATGATTTTAAGAAGATGGAAGAAGAGATGGATGGTCTTGCCAGCAATATGGCCACCATCACAGATTTTAGTGGAAAGATTTCAGATACACTACAGAGTAGACGTGATCAGATCACTAAGCTCACTGGAGTACATTTGCTTTTAAGAAAGGTATATATAGGCTTTCTGTTGTGTCAGAAATTATGTCAAAGATGATGTTGAAACCTAGGTTTATTCTAATCATTTCCACAGATGATGAGAAAAAGTACTAGTAAAACACAGCATATAATCAGTTTTCCATACTTTGCCACAGTTTACAGGACTGTGACACAAATGTTAGTAATGAAATCCTATGCACTAAAGAAAATTCTTTGATACACAAGATGCATCCTGAATTAAATGTTAATCAAACAGCATCACCTTTGCTCCTGAAACTAGTAAATACAACAGAATCTTGTTTTAAATGTTCATTGCATTTGGTAAATCTAAACAGACCTGTACATCATTTTCATGAGCTGTGTATAAGACGTTTTATTTTGGTTTTCTAAATCTGAGTTGTGGATGCATAGGTGGATTGGGGTTTATCATGACTTAAAACTTTAAATAGTACATTATTGCAAATGTCGTTTTAAAACATTTACTAAAGGATTGTAAAAAATTATGTTCGAAAGCTGTTGCTATTATTTTTTTTAATAAATATTTTAACATTTTTTCTGTGAATATTTAATTTTAGAGCATACTAAATCCACCAAAGGGAAGTGGATTGAGTTAAACAAAAATTTATATTTGTGTCTGTATCACCTGTTACTGTATCATGTAAGTCTGTATTACTGATTTGAGTGTCAACCAACTTTTTTTGAGTGAAACTATGTCACAAATATATATTTTAAGATTTTTACTGTAGTAGAATTAGAAACTTGTCCTGCATAATTCTAGTACATTTAGTTTTATAATGATAATATATGTTGTTGCAGCTACACTAACTAAATTTGTAATTCATGTAGCAAGTGTAGGAATTATTATTAACAATATTCTTATGATCAACATTGAACATCACACAGAGAAAACTGTTACCAGCCATTAGATCCCAGTTCTTGAATATATTTTAGCTCTTAAGCTAAATTGGCTTCCAAACCACCAGTTGTTATATATATCAGTGGTATAGATATGATCTGCAAAATATTAATAATTTTTTATGTGTATGCTTAAGGTGCCAAATTATGGAAAATTGTGTGAGTTTTTTCAGCATTCTAAGTTTTTGATATCTTGTTTTTCATTGGTTTTTAATGTATTATAATTTTTTTTTAGATGACCTTTGGTATAGTTAATGGACTAGGTCAAATTACGATTAGATGGTATGCCTGTTTAAAAACACTAGGAAATATGAGTTTGCATTTGCCAAAAAGCTAACACAGTACTAATTAATAATGTGTTGTGGTACACAAACCTCAACCTAATGATGTTGTATGTATCAAATTATTTCATTTTCTAATTGTTCTTTTTGTTTTTAACAATGCAGCCTTAGCTACTAAAATTCAATCAGTCTGTTTTGTAATGAGGTTATTTGTCTGATTCTTTACAGCTTCAGTTTCTGTTTGAGCTTCCGCCAAGATTGAAATCATATATCGAAGATGAAGAATATGTCCAGGCAGCAAGGAAAGTTTTAGAAAATGTCATTTTTCTACACCTTTTCTATACTATGGAAAGTCAATGTGACTAATCTTAATGCCAGTTTTTAAACCCTTTCTATTCACTCAGAAGTCATTGTAACTGAGCTAGGTATCCATCTATAAACCTTTTCTTATTTTTAAAACCCAGTGTGACTGACCTAGATATCAATTTCTAAACTATTTCTGTGCATTGAAAAGTCAATGTGCAAAGTTTTATGATGGACTAAAAAATTCTGAATTTTAGCTTATTTTCAACTATTAGTCACATTATTGATTTTAGTAGCCAAACCATCTAAATTATCGTCATTAAATTATTCATGTACCTTTTATCATTTCTACTCCATTTATATAAAACAGTAGTTTTGTTATCTGCTTATTTCTTTGTAAACTACAGTATCAATAATACTTACCTCCTCTCACACCACAGCTATTACTCGACTGCCAGGATTTCTTACTTTGCCCATCTAAACATTGGTCTGATTTTTTCTCGCTTGCTCCAGTTTTTTATACCCCACTTAATTGCCTTTGGCGATATTTGTCTTTTGATACTCTCCACCTATGTTAATGTGCCCTGTATCCTAGTACTGTATATAAACATCTCATTCACATAATGTTGTCACTTTTTCTTGACAAAACTTTCATTGACAGGCTTATCTGTGCTACGATCGTTAGGATATAGTTTGAACATTCTTCATGTTACCTAGTTGATTTTCGTTTAAAAAATATTTCGTTTGACAAGCCAATATATTGGATGAATTCCCAGATTATTATTTCTGGCATGGAGGCAGATCAGATCTCTCCTATTCTACCCTTGATACTTAGACTGTCAGTGATCCTATTCATAGTAAGATCTAGAGATATGTGGTTTGGCGGTGTTCCTCCAGGAAGGCTCTGAGGCTGCAATTGAGGGTGATCTTGAACATTCTGGAGAGAATTAAGATTTGCTTTTTCCTGCACCTTCTTTTATTATGTTGGCTTCTCAGAAGGGTACTTTGGGATAAGCTGCCTTAGGGTCTTTTTTCTTTAGTTGGTCCATCGAGTGTGTGTGATGTTTTGGGTTTTTCCTCATTTGTGTTTGAGCCTGCATCTTACTTTATGGCTGAAAGGTCTAAGAGCAAATTCTTAGTTTTCCCTCCATCCACAGACATTGTGGTTCATGCAGAGAGGTTTACTGCTCAGCTACGTGAAGGGACAGGTATTCCTTATCTACCACGGTTGTCCGAACTATGTTATTTAGCCTACTACTGCCAGGTGGAAGGAATTTCCAACTCTCAAAGAATATATCTGCTCCTGAAAATTAGGGGTTCCAGAACAGAGTTTGTATAGATCAATAGCCTGAGTAGATCAATGGCTCTGGTGGGACAGTGGTAAGTCTATGGATTTACAACTAAAATTCAACATTCTATTCCATGCAGTAAACACAGTAGATAGTCTAATGTGTTGTTTTCCTGAAACTAAACTTTGTTGGAAGACTCTCAGGATCACCAAGTCCATTGATGATGAGCTGGAACCATTGTTAGCATGCACATTGATTCAATTGTCGGTTTTTACCCTCATCTCTGTTGTCGTTGGCATCTTGACTTTCATCAGCTCCTACAGGGGTAATAGTTCTGCCTTTATTTCAGGATCCCAACATCAGCCCCTCAGTCCATTGGTACCCAGAATTGGTTCTGTCCATATCCAAGGGTTCCGCTGCTCAGTCAGAACACTACCAGTGGCATTAGCGACTAGTGTATGCCTTCGGGGTCTGTGGGAGCTTGGCTTCAAGAATTTGATATGTATGGTAAACCTTAACCATGGATCCATAGGCACTACAGGTCCTTGAGTCAGGATTAGTCATTCAGTTCACATCTTCACCATTATCCACCCAACCTGTAGGGTTTCTGTCTCCCACAGAACTTAGGATTTTGGAACTTAATTCTAGGGCTATCAGAGTTTGGTTGGTCTGGGGATAGAGAGTTGTGCCAGTTTTTCTGGGGTGTTATTCCTGTCAGTTTGTTGGGCCCAAGAAGACAGGAGATGTCCAGTCATTAATCTTTCTCTTCTATGTCAATTCCTAGATTCTCCAAGGTTCACAAGTGACTCATTCCTCACTTTGACTTGGCATTTTTTTACTAGGATTGTTGATGTCCAAGTTCGATGTAGTTGGCTGTTATCTGCACATTGCCATAGTGGTGGTGTCCCACCACTATTGACATTTTTTGTGCACAAGGGTCAAGTACTGTGGTTCAGGGTTCTTAGCATTGGCATCACATGGGTTCTGCTGAATTATATGAGCTTTTTCTTGTCACCTACATTCTCCACCCCTGTGCACACACCTTTTTATGGATGACTGGTTACTGCTGGCACCATCCAGTCAATTGTCAGAACATCACACCTGGATTCTACTTTCAGAAACAAGCAAGGCAGACTTCATTATCAGAGCTGAGACATCTATTCTCGCTCCAACACAATATGTCATCAGTCTGGGTATTTTTTCATCACATATCTCAGTCGGGCTGAGCCAACTCACATCAGGCTCCATATTATGGAATAGGAAGCCCAACTCTTACTCACTTCTCCTTCTCCCACTGCATGGATGGTTCTTTATCTTTTGGGAATGTGAGCATCACTTGAATCTCTCATGCCTTTGTGATGAATGCATAAGAGAACCCTTGAATGGTCTTTTTTGTGACCAATGGATCATAAACATCAATTCATTGGATTCCCCAGTTTCCTTATTCAGAATCATTCTCTTCGATCTCGAGGGGTTGTTAGATCAGGATGATACTAAAATATGGATTTCTCTGCCACCACCTCGTCCTGAGATCCATCTCTTCACAATTGCTTTGCTTCAAAGATGGGGTACATATGTCAACAGTCAGGAATTTCAGGGTCTATGCATGGTTTATGAGGCTCCCCTAAACAATATCTTAGACCTTCTTGCTTTTTAAAAGGCACTTGTTAACCCTATTGCCCCAGGTACCCTTTACTGTGCAGACACAAGGTTTTAATGTCTTCAGGTATGGAGGTTATGCAGTATTTCTCACAGTATCGGGGTTTAATTTCTAAGTTTGCCATGTATCTGTCTCAGTCTTTGCTTTGTATCACAATGGACATTTGTCAATGGAAAAAGCACACATATTGGCAATGGTGTATTGAGAGGAGGTTGGACCAACGTTGATTAGAAGTGTCAACCATAACTCGTTTTTGGACCTGGCTAAAAGGCAAAGGTTGTGCATGTTCCATAGTCACCCTGTATAAGGTAGCCTTATTGACTACTGTTCTTTGAGTCCACAGTACTCTCTGGCTTCCTCTGTTCGTTTGGGGTACTTTGTCCCAAACGATCATTCTAGTTACCTCACTGGTATATTAAGGTAGCATTACATGTCCTTTATCAACACCCATTTGAGACCTTAGCCTCAGGTGCCATCTATCACCTTTCTTTGAAGGTTTATTTTTCATTGCTGCTGACCTACAGACATTGCCAGTTGGAGTGGTTTGCACTGGTTGTGCACAGGATGCTTTATCATTCTACCTATGTCCTCATACCAGTTCTTCTTCCCTAAGATACTGGCAGCCAGGGAAGTGGATAAATCCTTCTCACAGATTCATTATTTCTCACTTCTATGACCGATCAGCTTTTGTTTATTTGTTATGTGCAGTGATGGTCTTGAAGGTTTTGTTGCCCACTCTAATGCCTTTACAGATGCAAGACAACGAATTTTTAATCATTGGGATCATTCAGTTTCCCAGGATTTATCCCAGTTACATTAATGAGATGGGTTTGAAATTGATCCATATCACTTATTCTGGGCTGACTTTGAAGGTGATGAGACTTCTGCGAGTCACGTCTAATCAGATTCATCACATTTCTATGTGGACTGGTATGTGGAACTCCCCCAATACTTCTATCTCACATTATTAGCATGATCTGATAGTATCTTAACCTGAGGGTTTCTGACTACCCCTATAGCTATTTTAACCACTTCTGCTAAATTATACAGAGGGATGAGCATTTTCATTGCTATGCTTGTCTCTTCTTTACCTTTCAGGGCCACTTACCTCATTTTCATAGGATCCAACTCTGTGGCAAGTGTTGCCCAGGCAGGTGTGCTTTTATCAAACCAATTCTACACTAGCAACCACTAATTCAATATACTAGGTTGCAATAGGTTCTGTAGAAATGAAATGTTCCATAAGACCACTTAGAGGCTGACCTGATGGTATTACTGTACTATGCTGGACAGCCACTCATGGACTATCACAAGTAAAGCATAAGGGTATCCTGCCCATCCCTGCTGATCATTGCATTGAATAAATCGAGGTCAGTTTGCTTTTAACAATTTAGGGAACTTGGTTCACCTATTGCACTGTTTCCAGAAAACTGTGTCTTCGAACTCCACAATGCAGATTACCCCCAGATTCTACCTTGAGGAACCCCACAATAGAGACTAGAGAAATGAGACTTCATATCATTAATTGTGGTATAACATTGCCTATTTAGTAAATATATTTTAAGAATATCATAAATATTACCACATGGACTGTACTGAGCACACTTGTAAAGTAAATCTGTGTGACTAATGCTATCAAATGCCTTGGCAATATCAAGAGCACAGACTAAAACAGATTTTTTAACCTCATAAGCCTCAATAAGCTTTGTAGTAATAGCCAATAAACACTTTTCAGTAGATTTATGCTTACTAAAACCAAACTGCAAATTACTTAAAATCATATGTTTCTCAAGAAACACAATAATTCCGTTGTTCATTAATATGAATGAATGCAGATAAGATGGAAATAGGCCAATAATTTTCCACATGATCAGGATTCCCACCCTTGTAGATGGAACAATCTTAGCAATTTGAAGAATCTCAGGAAGTTTACCAGTTGTTCATACTTTATTAACAAGTACAGTTATGGGTTCAGTAATTGGATCACTAGCAGATTTAATCACCGATGGTAGAACATCATTCCATCCAGCAGAAGAAGAACTAGAGAGTGCCTTTATGGCAGCATGAATTTCAGTCATGGTTACAGATGCAAGATAAATAGTCTGAGCTATTGACTTATCTTGACACTTAATGTTAGTAAGAGTAACAGCCTGCCTAGTAAGATAATCATTAAAAGGGTCAGTAACATGAGAACCTGTGTTGTAACTACGTGTTCACTTTGCATTACTTTCTTTAGCCCTACCTAGTTGTTTGTTAATGGATCACCATATGTAATGAGATTCATCATCCTGAAAACATTTGTCATTATTATTTAAATTTTAAGTTCTTAATTTTATAGAAAATATTTTAAAAAATACACAGTATCCCCTATTATGACAATTGTGACATTTGCTCTCTAGGTCTTCCTCTTCTCTAATTTATTTACCACCCCTCCAAGAAGTATGGAATTTAATGTAAATTACTCATTATAACATAGTTAATATTCAGACAAAGCATAATTTTCATAGCCTTCAGTCTTACTTGATTTCAGAGCCATATACTAGAAAATCAGACTTCTTTCGCCACACCCACCTGTCACATCCTCTCTTTCACAGTTTGCCAATCGTTCTCTCTGACATTTAATACTATATTATTTATAACCAATAGAAAGCCAAAATTTTAGTCTATCAAATGACATGTTATATATCATTGTTTTCTGTACAGAGAATTGGCTGTTGTGCTTCCAGTTCAAACTTTATTCCCACACGAAACACATAAATGAATTTAGCTGAATTTTTAACGGCTCTTACTGCATAATTAGAAACACAGAAAAATTTTGGTACTTATAGGACATTTTCTGCTTTTTACATGTTATTATTCTGTGTTCTTGGGTACATTATTTAATTAGATAAAAAATTATTTATTGCAGTAGTACCATTAGTATAACAAAGTAAGGTTAAGTTTCATTGACAGTTAACAGCAAAAAACAAAGAAGACTCAGGTAAGTACTTTATTCCTTGTTTTTCGTATGTATTTTTTATTTATTATTATAAAAGGAACTAAAATGTAAAATTTATAAACTTACTAGGTCAGATTAGGTAAATAAAGAAAAATATTGATATTAACAGAAAAATTTCACAAGGTATGCTCATGAGTAGCCCATGCTTTATGTAATTTGCTAGGGTAAAGTGTGCTACATGTTTGCTGAGTAATTTACAACCTGTATGGCAGGATTATTTGTCAGACACAGTTAAAAGACAATAAAACAATAAAATTCAGCATCAACATGTACTGTTACCAGCTTTAAGTTATTTGGGATAAACAATTGTGGTTTTCTGTTACAATTTTCAGTCATTTCAAAAAGAGAAAATTTACAATTACTTCCTATTTTCTAAAATTTCGTGTTTATTTAGGAGGTTTTAGGGATTACTCAAATAAAATGTGAAAATTTTGAGATAAAGAAAAGTATTTTTAATCTTAACATAAAAATCACTTTGCACTTGGAGCAGTCAACACTCTGACACTATATAATTACAGACAAAGTTTTTGTAAGCTTGTTAAAAGAGTTAGCACAAAGGATCACATATAAAGTGTAATAAACTTAAAATAAGACCCCAAAACTCGAGCGCTTTCGAATAGTTGACTATTTTTCTTCAGGAGAACAAAGGGTGACCTTTAGCCTGCGCAATGTAATATATAGTAGGACATGTGACGTCATGTAAACCGGAAGTCCCAGTTGAGATGAATCTGGTGACCAGCCAATCCCAACTCAAGCAGTTAGTCTCCCGGAAGGGAGAATTCGTTTGTAGAGAGAAAAAAAACAAAAAATTATTATTAGTTTTCATTGTGTATGAAACTTAGTTTTAGTAAGAATACTTAATTAAAAATTCAGATTTTTTTTGTCTACAAAAGACTTAAAGTTTACTGAAATTTCCCAAATTTCATGAGGATACATCAAGTACTTTCAAATTCATAGTATATACATATATATATTTATATATCACCATGGTTACAAGTCGTGTAAAATACACAAGCCTGTTGCAATAGGGTTAGTTCTAAAACCAGCAGTACTTGATATTTGATAAAATCCAGGTGAGTGAAATGTTACACTCTTGAGATACTTCCTGGAACGTGATATGCTCCTCTTTAAATTTAACCCATCTCAGCACAGTTTAAAGATTTACTAAGTCATTGTTTGCATTATAAATGGTCATCTGATCACTATTTATTTATGGTGTAAGTTGTCATTAATCCAGTTATCTAATGTTTATATTTAAATTATGTTAAATATTATGACTTTTTTTAAATCATATCAAAGACCAGTTCCTCAGTCTCCTGTTTTCTTTGTTTTTCATTTCCTCTTCTTGACAGCTAGCTTGTACCTCATTGTTTCCATTGTGAGATGCTTATGACACATAAATACGTACACACGTAAATATGGCCTTGCAACATTTTGCTTCTTTCTTATGCCATCATCAAGCTTAAGAAGATAATCAAAGTAGGCATGATAGAAAATACATGATTGAAACTTGTTGCCAAATGTGCTTCACCTTTCAGCCATGGGTGTGTTATAATTTGACAGACAATCCCGTCATTCATTGGCTAAAAAATAGTTAAAGAATTGGTGGTGGGTGTTGTCAACTAGCTACATTCCATTCAGTTTGTCATTTCTAAATCAGGGATTGCACAGATAGCTTTCAACTGCATTGTGTAAAATTCAACAAACAAACAAATACAATTTCAAAAGAATGTTCTAATCATGTGAAGAAAGAACAATAATAAAATTAACTAACAATATTAATGACTATCTCAAAATGGTATCATTAGAAAAGAGGAAATAAGATTAAAAACATTTTAAGTTTTGAAATAAACATTCTATTTATAAAGTTCTTCATTAGAGGATATTTCCTTGAAAAAGTTGTTTTAAAACAAATTAAGTGAAAAAGAAGATCATTATGTTTAAAACTAGGGAGATTTGCTTAAGGGATAGACTTTCTTTCATTAACACTTCATTGTTGATGGGTGTGTGTCACAGCAAGAATGAAACATGCAAAGTAACAAAATATATTCATATCTAATGACTAGAATGGGATTCTTTAAATCTTGTGCTATAGTGTAAGTGGAAATTAGTTGTTGAAATAGGGATATGTTTCTTTTAATAGATTAATTGTACAGTTAAGCCAGATGTGACAAATGAATTGTAGAACAGGGAATCGCTTAAGGAAATATGTAAAAGGCATTAAAAAACATGTACAACTTGTTTCAATATTAGTTGTGAAGGTAGTCGAGCATGATCACGTAGCTTCAAAACAAGACAGGTTCTTCATGGCAACATGCATGGATAGAAAATAAGCATTTGTGAGAAATGTCATAGCTTGGCAAATTTACTAAAAAATATTATTTTACAAATTTAATTTTTTTTCTTTTTTAATTGGTGAACAACAGCATAAATTCTGAGTGTGTCTGTCACTGTACCCAGTTGCTGAAAGTTCCGTACTCTGAAAAGTTCAGTTAAACTGATTTGAATGTTAGTTTCTAAATGTTTCCTGTACTTTCACATACGTTGTATAGCTGTGGCACAAAGTAATACATGAAGGAAAAAGCTGTTCAAGATTAAATCTTCCCCTTTTTTGTCAGAAATTAAATACATACATCTTGTCTTTAAACTTGAACTTTTGGAAAAAATAGTTTATAATGGTTTTCTTAGTATGAACAAACAAAAACGTTTTGATAAACTGTTTTTGAAGATATCAATCTTTAAAGCTGTAGCTGGCATTTTATGTTGCTTCTAAGTATGCACATTTGTGTATAAAGAACATTTGGTAAACCAATTTCCACACCCTTAAAACAGTTTATAATAATGCTGTGGTTGCTTTTAAGAATTCTGATGATATTAAATTAATGTATTCTGAAAGTTTGTGAGAGTTGTAATTTTGCAAATGTAAAAAATGAAATACATATGAAAAGAACATTCATAACCTGTAGCAATAATAATTTATCTGATTTTTACAATCAAGATTTTCAGTCTCTTTCAATTTATAAACATATGTTTATTAGTTATATGGTTGGCTTTTGCTTGCTTCATTGATGGATGTTGAATTATCCAATAAATCTTCTTTATAGATATTACACTAAAGCACAGAAAGTTCTTCTTCAGTATAGTCACATGCTTTCCTTTCGTGGGATACAAGAAGATTGTACTGTCATTGTAAAAGAACTAAAGATCAAGCTTCGAGAAAGGTTTCATTCTCCTGAGGTATGTAGTTTGTTTTAGGTTTTTTTTTTCAAATATGTTTTGTCTCTATAGTTATTAGGTGTGAATTTTCACTCAATAGCTACAGTTAGTCCACTGAGCTAAGATTTTTCTCAGCATTGAAAAATTATCACTTAACTCTATGTGAAGAGCATTGGTCCATTTGACCAACCCATTTCTTGTAAAGCTATGCATGCTATAATATCAAAATTATTACCTCTATATTCATGAAATTTGGCAAGGTTTTAGTAGACATTAAAAGCCTGTTGCACACAAAAATTGTATTTTTAATGATGTATTTTTGCTAAAGGATTGGCTGTGAACGTATGAATCCTTTTAATGCTAAGAATAAGAATATGTATTTTCATCTTAGAGTTTTCATATCTAATTTGCATAATCTCTAGAATCTCCATTTTCTTTTTTTCAGTAAGATTTGTTACTTTCTCTACTATAATACTACCAACAGTAAAATCATTAATGTAGGATAAATTGAAATATACAAATCAAAATGAAAAATCAATTTTTCTTTCTAGAATAACCGCAGATTGTAACAGACAGTTACACTTACTTGCTTATACAGACTAAGTTAATAGCCTTTTCACATCTAGTTTCATTTAAATTTTTTTGCTTTATAGATGTACTTAGAGTAACTCATAGGATGGTAGTTTTAAGTAAATGATCGAATTACAATTACACCACACTATGTACATGCAGTTAACTTGATGTAGGATACTGAATATCATGAGAACTTTTTGTACTTAATTTTTTCTTAAACTCTCTCACTATGGGCTCAATTGAACTGGCAGAGTTTGTAACCCCAAATTGACCTTTATAGTTTGTACACTATAACTTCTAATATGTTTTCTGTACCTTCATGAAATTTTGAAAGGTTTCAGTAATCATTAAGTCATTTGTAAAAAAAAAATCAGAATTTTTAAGGAAGTATTTCTACTCTTTGTTCCCAGCACTTGTTGGTCAATAGATAGCTCCCTAGAAGAGTTATTGTGAGCTGGAAAAACTGTTAGTAGATGATCAAGCGCAGGCCTGACTTTAAAGAGTTTATCATGCTTAGCATCAGTTTTAGGTAGATTACTATTAGTGTAATTGAAATGCAGGAAGCATGTGATAGTTAGAAAGTTTTCTGTAGAAAATACTGAAGAAAACCAAGATAAATGAAGTGAAGGAGTGGTAGTCCAGTAATCTGCAAGTTATACCCATAGCAAAGCAACACCAATTAAAGTTAAAATTTCTTCAGGAGTAACATTTTCAGCTATTTTTTATTTTCTTTCTGGCCTCCTTGTTTAGGTGTTTCCCTTGTTGGTGTGCAAATCTTTTTGTTTCTTCAGCAATTCTGGTGACAATGCTGAGTGTAAGAAAAAAGTTGAAAAAATATAGAGGACTCTTACACTTGCTTGATGGGAAACAGGCCATCCTCAGATGAAATCCTTCAACAATTGGGGATGCTCATCTTTATTGACCTTCAATTTCCACTCTGCACTACAGGCTAGAGGTTTTTGTTGTTTCTTGCTTCTGGCCATTGTGGAAGTGACTGTAGTGCTGGTTGTGGGAGGATCAGTAACAGTATCTCTAGATTGTTCTGGGTCACGAGGAGAGTTCTTAACCTGAGGATAGGTCAGGCTCCTCAAATAATAATGAATCCAGCAATGCTGGTTCCCGTGGATGGTGTTTGTGGATGATCGTTGTTTTGTCTTCTTGGGCAGAGGTGCAAGATGAAGCAGTAAAGAAGAGCAACAATGCTTCATCAACAGAGAGATTTTTCTTCTCCTTCAGATACTCAATATAAGTTTTAGAAGACATCTAGAATAATTTTAGTATGTTATTAATATTTGGTTGACATAATAAAAACATGATATACATTTGAACTATTGAACTTAGACTTAAAAGTACATAGATAGGCTACACAAAATGTATCATTTGTTACATACCATCTATTATGTATAGTCTGTTAGAACAACAGTATACATAGTATAAACGTACTGTCTAAGACATAAATTGTAGTAAATAATACCTAAGTCATAACAAAAACATGTATGTCATTACAAAATATAGACGTTTTAGAAATGGAGAATAATATTCCCTTACTAGACTTGGCATACTTTGTCCAATGTAGCTGTATAAAATGAATGATGTTCTTTCTGTAGAGTAAAATATTTTATTAGTTACTGACATTCTGAAAACTTGATAAACACAAGAAATTAATGTTTTGTGTATGGTCGAAGTAGAGCCATTATATATATATAAGTAATTTTATCCATAACATTCTAAATGTTTCTTACATTATATCATACTTTATTGTAAGCTATCATTCCATGTACATTTTTGATGTATGTGTATAGACATAAAATTACAAATTACATTGAAAACAACTTTCAATGAAGTCAGACTAATGAATTTGATGTAGATATTCATCAGATGTAAGATAACAATCTGGGAAAATTTATTAAACACGTGTTATTTGATTATCTGCACAAAAACATACAACTTTATGTGAATTGCGAAGGGCTCAGATAGAATTGGTTTTTCAGTGTTCAGTGTTGACACTCTGGAGGTAAAAATAGTTTATTAGTTATTGATATTCTGGAGATCTGATAAACACGAGAAATTATTACTTTGTGTAAGTGCCAGGTAGAACTAGTACGTATAAATAATTTCTTCATTTTATCCATAACATTCTAAATGTTTCTCACATTGTATCATACTTTATTGTAAGCTATCACTCCACATACATTTTTGATGTATGTGTATAGATATAGACATAAAATCACAAATTACACTGAAAACAACTTTCAATGAAGTAAGATAACAATCTGTGAAAATTTATGAAGAACACGTGATTTAATTAAAGCATGTATGTATACATATATATATATATATATATATACTACCTTACTTATAGTAGTACGTTGTAGTCGTTACCTTTAACTTACCTACTATTATTACTTACTATTTAGTTACTTAACTATACTA